CAAGTGAATAAATATGTTTCACTACTCAACTGATTTTATAAGTGGTTAAACAACGAATTTTCACAATTTTTTTTTGTGGTTTCTATCAAAAAATAAGCAGTTCTGATATGCAAACACTTGTTCAAATATTTGTCATCTGTATTTATTAAATTCTTTAGTAAATGATACGTATCATCACCTAAAATGCCAAAACAAAAAAAAAAAAAAAAAAAAAAAAAAAAAAAAAAAAAAAAAAAAAAAAAAAAAAAAAAAAAAAAAAAAAAAAAAAAAAAAAGGGAGTAAGTCTACAGGCGACGGATAAATGATAAACAGACACCACTCTTATTGAAACCATATTTTGGATTTCGGTTAAAATATGGTTATAAGAGTATAATGGTCATATATTGGTTCTATGTGATAACCGGAAGTTAAAAATTTTATGCATACATATATATAATAAGATGTAGTGAATCGTAAGCAATAAGTAACTAAATTTTGGTTTTTTTTTATCATATTCGTTTTTCATTTTAGGTGATGATACATACCACACACATATATATTTTGACTAGTTTTGAGACCAATTTTTTTTATAAGATAATGGTTGGAATTAATATAGTTGAGGCTTTGGTCGAGAAAGTTAAAGAAACTGTGCTCGAAAATTGTCGTATTGTCATCTGAGCTATAGCAGGGGATCTTAACATTTCTTATGGATCGACTTCACCACATTGGCTAGTATCAATGCTTGACTCGTACATACCAAAAGACTCTGTCTTTGTGAAAAACTACGTTGAGTAGAGGTGGAAAAAGAAATGCTTGCTGATCAAACGCATTGTTACTGGATAACAAAACGTATTTTTATGAATATATTATAGAAATTTTCCAACAATTTAACAAATGGCGCTTAAAAAAATGAGCCGAATACGAAAAGAGAAAACAGATTTCGCTGAAGGCTATCTCAGCCGAGGTTTCTAATGTTTTGTGGAAAGTTTTCGTGCTTAGTTGGCACGTTTGTATTTGCTCAGGACCCTATTTTAAAAGCGATAATAACTAACTGTACTAAATTCGTCAGAATATTATTTTTTGTCAGTCTGGGTGAAATTTGTGAATTTAGCTTTCATAGTGTCAGCTTAAGGCATATTTACAACATTAAATATTTTATAGTATGTCATTTTAGCATTAGCAGTGCAAGTCTATGAAATTTTTCAACATAAATATGTCTAACTATACAAGTTCATTTAAAGTTAAATGCGTGTAGATAGATTATGCACATTTTAAATGAAATTGAAATTTTTGTTTTTATATGCTTGTCAACAGATCGTTAAACAACCGCATTTAACTCGCCGGTAAAGCTTGTTAAGCAAAGTTAAATCGCGGTAAGCTGCTGTCCAAGCGTTAATAGGCCGACAAATGTATATACATATGTATGTAAGCAAAAAAATTTGCGTTTATTATTTTGCTCATGTTCATGCACAGGTAGT